TAAATCGAACTAATTGGCCTCTGGGAGGCCTCCTGCAGCTCCCCAGAGTGTTTCCTGGGGCTTTGAGTTGGAGGCAGGCTCCATTAATGTGGATGCGCTACCTCGGACTACATTCAATTTTTTTTCCCTGTAGTGAGGACAGAGAACTTCGAATTCTTAAAATTAGTAAATTTGAAATACAGGCAGTCCCCGACTTACGCGGATCTGACTTACGTCGGATCCGCACTTACGAACGGGGCGGTCCCGCCACCTCGACCTCTGGGGCGAGAAAAGCTGCTCCCGGTGCCCCATGTCTGTTGGGGACCATCTCCAGCAGACCAGGGGCACCGGGAGCAAAGCCGCAGCAGCGGTGGGTTCCTGCGCTTCTGAGGCTTTGCTCTGGCTTTGCACATGAGCAATCACTCGAAGAAGAAAGAATGGTTACTCGGGCTTCCTGGAATCAGCCGCTGATCAGTTTCAGCAGCGGCTGAATCTGGACGCCAGTTCCGACTTACATACAGATTCAACTTAAGAACAAACCTACAGTCCCTATCTTGTACGTAACCCGGGGACTGCCTGTAATTGCCTAGTGTAAATGTGGTTTAAGGGATTAAGATCCAGGTTCATCTTTTGAAGGCGCTTGGCAGGGGCTTCCTGGAATCAGCCGCTGATCAGTTTCAGCAGCGGCTGAATCTGGACGCCAGTTCCGACTTACATACAGATTCAACTTAAGAACAAACCTACAGTCCCTATCTTGTACGTAACCCGGGGACTGCCTGTAATTGCCTAGTGTAAATGTGGTTTAAGGGATTAAGATCCAGGTTCATCTTTTGAAGGCGCTTGGCAGGTTTCTTTTGAGAACTAGGACTAAGAGGTCAGATATGGAGTGATCATTTTTGTGAAGCATGTTTGCCTCTGTGTAGCAGGATATTTATCTTTTATTGTTTTTCTGAGTTCTTGTTTACACTTTAGGCTATATCCTCAAAACTCCTTACAGAAGCTACTTTTTACCACTTCTGGTCAAAGAAGGTTTTCCTGCATGAGAAGTATGATGGGATTTGAGCCACAGATCTGTAGTAATCCTTTTGAAAGGCAGTTATTCAGTTGCAGTACAGCACCATTTTAATTCTTTTAACAACATAACAGATTTTAAAATGACAAAATTGCTTCATTGGGGACATAGACCTACACCATGCATGCCAAGTTTTAGTCTTCTGACTAAATTTTTAATCTTCTAAAATGCAGAGTATATAATAGATATATTGATTAAATATTAATTCTAATGATTATGGTCTCTTGACAAATTCATTTTACAAAAAAGCCATAGTGCTCTGGTTGATTAAAATTAATTTGTGTATGAAATGAAAAATGAAATTGTTCATGGATTTTTTTTTAAGTAGTTAATATTTAACTCATAGTTTTGAAACATTTTAAGCCTATATGTGGCCTTACAGAATCAAAATTTGTAACATTTCTCTGCTGAGTCAGACTTTTTCATGAACTACCTGGATTTGTTACATAAGCTATGATTTCTTTTTAATGAAAAAAACTTTTAGGTGTTGGGTGCATTTTATTCTTCTTCCGCTCCCCTCCTCCCTTCCCCTTAAAAATGTTTCTTCCTATTGAAATCAATGGGGAATTCCTCTTAAACTGAAAATCAGTCTATTATAGTCTTAATATCAGTGCTACCCTATTCCATAGGAAAATGCAGGGTAAAGTTTGTACATGGACAGACATAAATATGCTGCAATGAAGCAAATGCTGTCTCTACAATTATCTTTGCGCAATCATTTATAAAAGTATAGTGTTGCTATCATAGTAGCTGCACTCAAACAGCATTGCAAACTTTTTTCAAGCATGCAGAAATGAACTGTAGGATGGTATTTTGTTTCCTTATAAAAGCAAATTTGTAATTACAGTTTTGAATCATTAATATCAAATTAAATGCCTGCCAAAGTATTTTAACAGAGCCACTATAATGCCTTCTAAATAAAAGACTTGACAAGAGAGGCGAAGTTGTGGGCTCCAATGAAAATTTTAAATTAAATAAAATTGCTAGTAATCAGTAGTTGAATGTTGTCCACTAGAATGTTTTCCAGTTGCACGCATCACTTACAATTTAATTCAGAATTGCAGGTCATTTAAGGAACAAATCCCATTTTAACCATTAGTGGTTGTACATTAGTATGAACATTGTAGTGACAATAAATGAAAGATACTTAATATATGACAACAGTATGTTATATATCCCCTGTAAAAATATTGACCATACTCTTTATAAGAGGGTCAGAACTGGTTGAAACGAAGTCAACAGAAGTTATGCCGTTGCCTTCACTATAACCAGAATGTGCTCCTAAATAAGTTGACAAAATACAACATTTAAATAGTTTTATACCTAACTTGGTGTCTCTGGGAAAAACAATAATAAAATCCTGCAGCTCAGGAAGGAATGGTGAAGTGGCCTCAATGCAGCAAAACTGACACAGCTTTTGTATTTAGGGAGGGGCATGTTGTGGCAAGGCTACCTAAGGAGTTTCTGTACCCTGTGCTGTTCTATGGATGCCTAAACAACACTCATGGGGAGGAGAAGAATAAACAAATGCTCAACAAGACAGCATCCTATGAATCTGCAAAGCTCCTAAGAGCAAGGGCTTGCATACTGCATTAAAAATGTTGTTGCAGTTTTTAGGCTGCATTAGAGGCTTCATCAGTGCTCTGTCCCCAGGTTGAGAAAGTGGATTCTGTTTCTCTCCTCTCCCTTCTCTCCCTCCCTCCCCCTCCCTTAATTACAGTTCCTATTCACAGTCTGCTCTGGCTGTGCATTTTGCTTCAGCTACCCCAGACTAACACGGCTACATTTCTATCACTGCTCTGGCTAAGTACTGTGATGCAGTTTTGAACCATAGTATTTTTTAAAATCTTGTGAATTATCTGCATTTGTCTTGCATTTTTCAAGACTTGAACTTGAATTCCACTTAGTGTCCTTCAGTAAAAGGATAAGTCTTCAGTACTACTTACTAAATTCATATAAATCTGTACTGTCTGTCTCCTTAATTAGACATAGAATAAGTAGAAGCCTTAATCTCTTCTTTGCATCCTCTTTTTTCCAGAACATGAATAATTGCTTTTTCTTCAGTAAAAGAATAGCTGTATCTTACTCGGATATAATGTATTCTAATTCTTATTGTAAAATTAACTTTAAAAGACAGAGTACTTCTAAGCATCTTTGACAGCTATTGGTTGCTCATCACATAAATGATGGAGAAGAGGCTTGATGCCATCTTAAAAAAAAGTGTGACAAGAGCAAGGCCTAAATGAGAAAACAGCTGTTTTTACATTGTTAGTAATGTGAACAGTAGGGTTCTGTGAAAATGACAGTATTGGCAATCATGCCTTTAGGCACAACTAACAAGAGTTTTTAGATTTCTTTTGGTATGTAACAAACTTACGTTAAAAAGGCTAAATAACTTAATGATTTGAAGAGCTGTTAGTAAAATAATTATTTTATTTGATCTGTGTTAGTAATACAAATCTAGAAACTGAAACAGTAAAGTAACTATTTAAATTGTTTTTGCCCTTTTATTAAAAAACATATATTCCAGATGTGGCAGATTTGAAAAAGGGTTATTGTGATATTCAGAAAAATTATCATTCACAATCTATACAAACAAAGCAAATTCTTATCCATGAACAAGAAATGAAATATTGTCAGTACATAAAAAGCATTCCAATACTAAGAGAGATGAATACAGTGTAACAATGATCAGATGAAATTATATTAAGTAATCGTCAGCTAACAGGAGATACTGGGCCATATTCTACCTTTATTACTCGATGGAAGTCAATGAAAATATGTGGTATGTAAAGCAGTGTAGAATGTAGTATAATGAGATGTAAGTATCAGGATTGGCTACATACCAACATGTCTTCTCATTTTAAGCCGAGAGTTATGTTACCCACTTGGGTCAGATGCTGTGTAGATACCTGCCTCTAGAACTTTTCATCATGAATAAGTGAATTACTTGTGGATTGTGGGACCTCTCTTATACTCTAATTTAAATACTTTTGCACAGTATTCTTAATCCATCTAAAGCAGGATTTTCTGTACTTTTTCATAGCATGGGCTGTATGTTAAAGAATGCGGGCCTTTTTCCTTCTTATTTATGATTGATCAGGCAATTTTTCATACCACTTGTGGTCATATAACATCCCAGTGGAGCTATTGTAATGACTCACTTTCCCGACATTACTTTTCCATTTGCAGTGTTACTGTAGCCATGTTGGCCCTAGGATATGAGAGAGGCAACCCGGTGAGGTATATCTTTTATTTGAACAACTTCTATTGGAGAAAGAGACAGGCTTTCAAGTTTGCACAGAGATCTTTTCCAGGCCTTAATCTCTGTGGAGTTGAAAACTTGTCTCTTTCACCAGCAGAAATTGGTCCAACAGCAGATATATCATCCAACTTGTATGTCTGTCCGTCCCTATGTTTTAGTGATATTTAGCAACTAGAAATAGAACTATTCATAAATATTCATGTAGCCAGTCAGCTCTCATGGCATACAGAGAGCTGTAAGTCTAAAATGTGGAAAATTGTGAGCTATGGGAACTAATGTATGTGAAGCTTATTCATACCTTATTATGTATGATTTTGAGAAATGTTTTCCTACTAGATAGGAATCTTGGATGAAAGCTATCAGTTGTATTTGCAAAACGTAAGGAAAGCAGGAAGGTATTTCTGTGATCTTTTGCCAGAAACACAAATTGATTTCTTGGTGGTTTTGGATGACCTGCCAGTCAGAGGCATCCAGTAGCTGTGCTCAGGATTGCTATGTCCTCTGTATAAAGAGAATTGAGCTGCCTCTCGATGCTCTAGCTTACTCCTGTGCTTTTGAACTGTAATCCTGAGATAGCTGCTGACACATTCTTATATGGGGGAAAGCCACAAAAGACAGGATGGGATTTGTGTACATAAGATGGGACATTACAAGAGTAATAATTATTCACATTTTTCTTAACAGGTCTTCTTCTGGAAGACAAATCATATTTGGGATACCCGATGGCAGAAAATTCATGGGCCTGTATTTTGGGGCTCATGAACTTGAAACACAATTCATGGCTGGAAATTTCCTCTTCTGAGCCAACTTTCAGAATGACCAAGTGACCTTAAAATCCTTAGGGGATCCTAATATTGGCTTTCTACATGTGCTTTCTTTCTGACTTTAATGCAGAACTAAATGGCTTCACTTAATTCCTTCCATTTTAGTTAAGTCTGAAATTGTGAATCCAGAGAGAAAAGGTGTAATATTCATTAAATTGCTTTGCCCAATGTACTCTTACACACCACCACCACACTCCCCTGTTTTATTAGCATGAACATTATTCTGAGGAATATACTGCTATTGTGTCAGGAATGGATTTTGAGTAAATGTAAATGTTCAATGGCCTTAATTTTGCTCACTTTCACCAGTGATAAGATAGGCCAGTTTAAATGAAAATGTCTCTTTGACTAACAGACTTAAATTTGGTATGATACATGTTGTATATTTGCATCAGCTGGAGATAGTTTAAGTACAACTGCTTGACCTGGACTGTACTGTGTCTAGTATACATGCTGTATTGTATTTGTTTGGTAAATGTGAAATTAAAGGGTTTTTGTGTATTCTTTAGTGTTCCACTGCCTCTGCTGCCAAGTGTATTCTTTTTTATTTTGATTATATTTTCTGGTCAGTATAATACATATTTTGCTAGGGTGTCCTGCTCTGAGACATTTGCTGTAAAGATCCTCTGACACCTGGAAGAATTCTGTATATTTTCACTGGTTTATTCCTCTTTTTTTGTATTTTCTTGTTTCTGTGAGCAGACTCCTTGCTTTTGTGGGACTTCATCTACTGTTTGTTTCCCCGCATGACGTTATAGTCCCTTGATGTGACATCCCAGTAACTTTAAGGGCAACCAGTTGTGGTGCCTCAAACTGCTGTGATCGAGTAGGATGTCTGCATATGGATACATTCGTTCAAGAGCTGTGTAGTGGGAACACCCGCTGAAGTTCTGAGGAAAGTTCTGTGTGCTAAGTGGTTGTGGAATTGGATTTGAACTTTCTAGCTAGCTAAGATCCTATTTTTATTTGTTTTTATGGCTCTCATTCTGCCATTCAAATAAAAAGTTCAAAAGAACCCAGCTCCCCATGACCACCATTTTCACCATGACCACCAGATTCACCTGTCCCCTCCCATCCCCCTGCTGCTGCCTCTTTGTGAAAGTGAAATTTCAATTGTTTCCCAGAGAGACAATTAGGTAAGAGCAATCGAAATACATGCAGTACAACTAGGAGTAACCTTTATTCCTTCAATACTGCCTCTGTCCTTTTGCTTGATAGTGGAGTGTAAATAAGAAATCTCTTTTAAGATTTTAAAGGTGGTATGGCATTTCTATTTACAGTAAACTTCCAATAATCCGGCACCTTTAGGACCCAGGAGGTGCCGGATTATCAGATATGCCGGACTATCAGAAAGGAGGGGCTATGAGGGGTCTGGAGTGGGGTGGGAGGGGATGCCACCCCAGACCCCTCATAGCTCCCCCTTACGATAGTCTGGCTCTGCCCCAGGAGTCCCTGATTCAGCCGCTGCTGGTCAGTTTCAGCAGCAGCTGAATCGGGGATGCCCTCAATAGAGCAGCGGGGGGGCTGCGCGG